CTTCGAGCACCTAGGCTCAGGAATAAAGTCACAAACCGACTAAAACTGGACGTAGGGCACATTGCCTAAACCAGTATAAACCCTGTGTCATTGAGTGCTAGGCCACATCTGATCACAACGCACGACAAAACTATAAATATTTACTTGTTGGTCACTTTTCGCACCGACAGGTGGGTTGGTCCTGCTTGTGCCTGGGGTAAAAGCGAGGCGTGTGTTTCGGGGTACCCAAGCTGGGATACATTGGTTCACGAATCGCCGTGTGATACGGTATGACTTTTCTACGATCTAGCACTATAGTAAGAATTGAAAGATGAAAGATGGTAAAATAGATCTGATTGCTCAACTCTTGGTTAAAAGTAGAACAATGCTTACATAGAATAGTTAACTAATGAACTAATCATGACTGCTAACAAAAACATATATAAGGATTCACTATTAGTAATGCTTTACGCAAAAAGAAAATCCAGCAAACCATAAAGCTTATCATATCCTTTGGAGTCGGAAAATTATTTCACTAGTCGGGTAAGTCTTGCGAGTACATTGTGTACTCAGGGTTTATTTACCCCTGTTGCAGGTGCAACTTGAGGAATGACTGTTGTGTGTAGGATTCTTCTGGTGGGCACAGATGGATCCTTATATCTTATCGTTAGATGTTTATTTCAATTCCGCTATTTAAATTCCACACTCTGAACTTGGTATTGTAATAATGTATTTCTGAGAACTCTTGTTGTATGAAACGGACTAAGTATTGTAAACTTGTTCTCATTATTGGATCCTAGATGAAAAACGTGGATTGTTCGAGTTCTCCCTTGGGGTGTGCTCGATCGGAACCATCCGATGTAGCTAATTTTTAGGGTGCTTAGTGTCTAGTGGAAGACGGGCGTCTCCAAAAGCGTGTTATTTTGGCGGTTCTGCCACAACCATCATGTCGGTAACGATGGATGCAATCGAGATCTTTGTGACAACTGATGAGCATGTTACTAAGCTTATAACTAGAACATATAAACATAATAAGGCTTTCTTTGCCAAAAAAAGTATATAAGAGACTTTGGAACGGAGGAACCTAAAGAATATTGGAATGAGGTGAAAGAAAAGGTGAAAACTACAGGATTCCAAAACACATGGATAGAAAGTTGAACTAACTCGAATTTTGTTTAGAAAAGGAATAACAACATCCACGAGTTCGGTAGGATAACCTTAATTTGTAAAGATAAGCAATTGGTAAATCTCCTCAACTCCTAGATATATGTGTGCGCCTTCCACGCTTACTCGTGCCTTATTTTCGAGTTTTAGAGAGCTAATATAACTATGGGAAATTATTGAATAATACTAAAATAGAGCTCTCTATTACATTATCCGTTAGCGTAATCATTGATTTACCTAGTGAATTTTAAGAAGCTTTTAGAGATGCTCTAACATGGGATCATTAGATGTTGGGAAAATACAAGTACAAATAGTAATAACAAATTAATGTGGTGGTCCTCTGATCCATTTGACATGCATGTGTTAGCTACTTAGAATGTCCGCAGTGTGTGTATCCAAGGCGTGTCTATGCATTTAAACATTTAGTGCGACCATGTATTTTACACTGTGAGCTTGGTTCTACAGAGAACCTGCTCCCATGCATAGAACCGGCTCCCATCTTTATTCTCTCTCATGCTTTTGCCCACTGTCATGCGCGAAGGGAGAGAAGTCGTGCTACCAAGTACTGTGGGGCCATTTATAGATCCAGTGCATAGTTTCAAACACAAGAAACAATTTAACACATAATGGTCATGTTCGTTTGTCTTATAATCCATATTTTTTAATTTATCTTTTTAGTTAAAACAATATTTTTCTCTCACAACAAATCAGTTAGAATAGTATTTTAACTTGTTTTTTTAACAAAACGAAGAGGACCCGTATCACATCATCGTGGAACCCATCTAAGGGCTCCACCATCGCAGCACAACAAGAGTATTGGCTTCAGAAAAATAATCTGCTCCAGCTAGGCATAGGATAGCTAGGACCACTACTCCATTCCAAGCACATACACCAAAGTCTGTAAAAGCTGACAAAAGCTAACACCATTTCTCCCGCTCTCTCTTGCGGACGATCATCTCTCTCCCAATGCAGTAGGAGCTTCCATAAGTCACACTGACACCTATAGAGCACCTAACTTTTACATACCCTGGCATCCGAGCCTAGTTGGCTTTGTAAAGCCAAAAAGTTGCTTGATTAGATACATCGAATGTTTGCGACTTTTTTTTATTAAATGTAGATAAAATAAAAACATTAATTTTTTAGCAGTTTTGATTGAACATTAAATGTAGCGTTTACAAACCTAAATAACTAATTGTTTGGTTTATTTACCAAATCACGAGATGAATCTTTCAAAAGCCAAATTAATCCACGATTAAACAATATTTGACACCTATAGAGCACCTAACTTTTACATACCCTGGCAGCCGAGCCTAGTTGGCTTCATAAAGCCACTAGCCAATCCACTGCGTTGGGGCTGGCCTAAAGACACACCCCTGTATATCTATACATTGCTGGTGCCCTTAGCTATGTCTTGATATCCATGGTCAGTTGCAGTACTTTTAATTATTAGTTTTATATTGCTGATTATACTGATTTGCTGTGAGAAAAAACACCATTCGTTTGTTGAAAAAGCTGCAGAACAGCACCATCCTTACTTGTCCTCTCTCATTTTTAGACCGACTTCACAGAGCCTGCGGGGAGCAATTTGGCCCAGCACGGCCGGCTTCGTTCGAAAGAGAAAAAAAGTTCACAAGCAGCCACGAGTAGGCGAGGCGGGAGCACGATTGGAATTGTTTGACGTTGTCGACGCTGCCGAACGTGCCGGCCACCGACTGGGCCCCACGGCTGTGTCACCACCGAGAGGAAAAGTCTGGTTTACCCATAGATAAACAAATACTAGGCCGGTATCTGGATAGATTTACCGGAGTGCCATTCCGGGCTAGTACGTAGTGCTGCCGTCACTCGGTGACAGAGCTGCGAAAGGGCATTCCCGTGATTCTTTGAGGAACCGATGGCTCTGTCAGCTTTGGGCTCCCCGAAGCTTCAAAAGCGTCACGCGCGCACGTCGTATGGATGTTGGTGCCGTACTGCACGTACGGTTCGGCGGGTTCGCCGGACGGCCGGAGCAATCTGACGCCGTCAGTTCCAACAATCCAACAGTCCAACTTGTTCAGTAGTAAAAAAAACATTCCCAATGAGATTAGACCATGAATGAAATGTGTAGGATCAGTGAATGAAGCGTGTGACATTTGAATCGGTACTTGTTGCTAAAAAGGTTCACGCAACTTATTTTTTCATACGAGTACTTCATCTGTTTAAAAAATATATTTTTTATTTTTTATTTGAAATTAAATGCATCTAACTTTGACAAACTCCATAGAGAAAATATATTATCTATTTTTTGACAACATATTACATCTATTAAGGGGTTATGAGGTTGTACTTAGTCAGAGTATTCTATATTTATACACTTTTTTAGATAAAAATATCAATATATATCATATTCCTACCTCCGTTCTAAAAAGAATGCAACTATAGATGACGTGCCACGAAAAAATGGTTTACGTTTGACCAAGTTTTTAGTGAATAATATTTATAGTTATATCTTTAAATTAATTTATTATAAAAATACATTTCGTAATTAATCTGATGGTATCTATTTGATATCATAAATATGGATATTTTTTTTATCTATAATTGGTCAAACTTAATGTACTAAAACGTAACATTGTGCTAAAATTGTATTCTTTTAGGGATGAAGATAGTAAAATGGTAAATCATGAAAATATACTTCATAACATATGGTTCGCTAGGCTGGGCGGAGCGATCTAATTGTGCATGTGTTGATATGTAAATGCTATTTTTGTTTTTCTTTGTTGGTCATATTTAAAATAGTTTCACCTATATTAAACTATAAATCCCTTGCAATTTCAAGTGAAGGTTGTACTCGCATCCGCGTAGCTGAACTATTAAGACATATTTTATGGCGAATTCAATAAAGTTAATGTGACATACCAATGTTAGATGAATTTTGTATAAACTTAGTTAAAGTTAAAAAAATCATTTAAAACAAAAATAAAGCGAGGTGCATTTTAATATTTAAACTGACATAGGAGTATGTAATTCATGTAATTTTCCACTCCGCTTTGTGATGCAAGGAAATGTGATAAATGTATCTGGCTCTCCCAACTTTGCTAAAGCCAACAAACCAACTAACCAAGTGATCATATGAACACAATTAACCTTGTTGCGGTGATCATCCCATATGAACGTATACTCAAGCATCTACCCGTTATGTTCATCCATTCCGAATGGAAGGAGTATGATACCGCATCATTGCAGTAATCATCTCAAGGCGTTCACGTCATGATGATAACGATTCTACTTGATGACATACTGATTACGAAATTCAAACCTACTACTTCGTTGAAGCATAACATTCACGAATTTATTTCCGTGGATGCGGATGAGATCAGACACTACACTGTTCTTTCTTGCAAAAACCAAGAGAATTAAATTTAATCCGAATTTTCAGGGGGAAAAAAGAAAACAGATGGAGAAAATAAAAAACGGCACCACTCTTGTGGCCCCTACTCCTACTAGCTAACGGTAACAGTGACGGGGCGCGCGAGAGTTCAGGAAGAGCGAGTCAGCGAGACTGCGAGAGGCAATTCCGCCTGCCGCAATTCCACACGCGAGGCTAAAAAAACAATTCGAAAATCGAACCCCCCCGACCTACGCGAGAAAACAACAAACCATCCCGTCTTCCGAAACGAAAAAAAAGCGCTCAGCCGCTCAGGAAGAGCGAAAGGCCAAGCGCCCAGCGCACAGCCGCCCGGCGAACCCGTGGCGGAGGCCAAAACCCCGCGCCGCATTGCGCCGAAACCCTCCGATTCGGCCCGGGCCGAGCTCGAATCCGCGCAATCTCGACGCCGGCGGGCTCGATCTGAGCCGGGGCCGCCGCGCGCCGGCGAGGAATGGGGAGCGTGGACGGCGGGGCCGAGGGGATCCACGAAGGTGAGCCGTGTGCTGATTTGGATGCACTTTGGGTTGCGGAATTCGAGCCAGCCAGCTGAAATGTTTGGGTTAGGGAGTCTTCTCATGATTTTGGTCACCGATGGACAGCTCTTGTTTTCTGTTTATTGAGCTGAATTTTAGCTTGACGGTCTCATTGTTTGAATCTCAGTGTTTGATAGTTGAGCTATATTTATTGACTTAGCATCAGTGTGACCTTAGCTGTTGTGCTTCCGTTTGTTCTGAGATTTTAGTTTGGAGCTGTCGAGCAGTCGAGCTCGGAGTTGCCATTTCCTCCTTTTTTTTTTGTCATATTTACATCACACGGTGCTATAAAATCCTTGTAGCTAATCGGCGCGCGCAGTTGATCAAATGGATGAATGCCTTACTCCCGGAATTCAGTTTGCCTCCGGATTCGACAGATGAAGAACTACGAGAGCTGCTCAGTGACGGCGTGGTCCTATGCCGTGTTGTGAACACACTCATCCCGGGGGTTCTCGAGGCAAGTCTTTTTTTTTTCTTGGACAATATGTGTTGCTTTTGTTTTTTGTTGCGCTGTGGAGATGTTGATGTTTGTGCTTTGAGTGTGGTCATTTTTGTTCAGGGATCCTGGGAGGGTTATGCACCGTCAGATCAGAGGTTAAGCAATGTGAAGAAATTCCTCTCAGTGGTTGCTGATATGGGGCTGCCAGGTTTCAGTGTGAAAGATCTTGATGAGGTGAGGGTTCTGTTATCAGTTGTCATAATTTTGAAGTTGGTATGCACGCCAGAACTCGAAATTGGCATACTTTTGAAGCTCAATTCGTATTGCATAGATGCTGTTTTTGATGCAGTATTTCATAGTAGGGTGCCTAGCATTGTCGGACGTGTTTTTCAACTTTTTGACATTTTCCAGTTACGTACAGACAAATAAAAGTTTGGAATGTACATCTATATGTGATCCCTTTCCTTTGTTTTTGGTGTAAATGCGTTCTTGATATCTTCGCAATGTGTAGCTATGATTGAACTGCAGAAATAGCTTAAAGATCTGGTTCCACGGTAAATATACTTGATTTTGTTAGTTCCTTTTTTTACTATGCTGATTGCTTTCACGAAGGAGGCCTTCAACTATAAATATGATGGACGGTTGCTTTAAATCTTATGTCACAACATAGCTATAGAACCTTGTAACATGTCATTTTATTCGAATGTTTTTATGTTGCTGAGGCTCACGAGTCACGAGCACGGGAACATGGACTAAAATTCCATATTTTATCTATTTGCGCACTATAAGATAGGGAGTGCTCTTAGATGTGACATACTGTTTCCCTAGTTCGTGCACTCCTGGTTGTCACATTCTGTTAACTTCTAGGCTTGATGATTACAGGGATTAATGTCTTCTGTAGTGGAATGTCTCTTGGTTTTGAGGGACAGTGTGGATCCTAAATTAGGTGGTAATATTCCACCAGATGTTACCATAACTCCTTCGAGAAAACAATGGGGAGTTCCAGAAATGGACAAGCCTCAAGTTCCTGGTGCAGCACTAGGGAAAAGATCCCCTGCAGAGGACAAGAGAAACGGCGTTGCAGATCCCAAAGCCCATCAGAAAACTCCTATCTTTTCTGGTAGATTTATTTCACACAAGCTTTCAAGAATCATCCAGAAATGAGATATTCAGATTACACCTTAGATAGTTTTAATTCATTACAAACTGCAAACTCAGTAATCACTATTATTTTAATATCGTTTCCAAGCTGCACATCCACAATATTATAACATTTTCCACTTTGTATAGCGCCATTCATTGTATTGGAGTGCAGATTTCATATCTGTTTAATCTGTGGGGGATCGTTATGTATCCTGCAGGACAACAGTTTCGTGAAGTTTTTCAATTAAAACGCGGATCATACTCCGATCTTCCTGCTGCCAAGATTTCAGAGATGATGCACTCTAATAGCTTAGATGTAAGTTCTTCAAGAATATTGCCCAAAGTTGTTGAATTATGCTACCCTGCTATCTTGTGTCCCAGTCGTAACATTAGTAATCTTCTTGCAGAATGCATCCACACAGTCGCTTATTATTGTTGTTAATGGCATTTTGGATGAAAGCATAGAAAGGAAAAAGGGAGAAATACCACATGTATGTGTTCATTTTGTACTACGTCACTATCTTTCCATTAATGATTGTTTACAACAGTGCTTAACTTTGACTGCCTCATCTCAGCGTGTAGTTTACTTACTGAGGAAAGTCGTTCAAGAGATTGAGCGTCGTCTCTGTATTCAAGCAGAGCACATAAGAAGTGTAAGAGAATCTGCTTAAAACATGAATTTTCCTTTTAGGCACACAAATTCACAATGAGTCAAATACCTTATACTGCAGCAAAATGTTATCATCAAGACAAGAGAACAGAAGTACCGTTCAAAAATTAAAGCACTTGAAATATTGGTAAATGGCACAAATGAAGAAAACCAGGTAATAATTCATTTGGTTGATTAGTTAGACAAATTATGTGTGTTTAAAAGTTTTTACGTTGTTTAATATTAACATGTAGTTTCTCTGTTCAGATGGCAATAAACAGGCTTCAGATAGTCAAGGTTTGATCCTCATCCGATACATTATAATTTTCTATGTTTTGAAACTTTTCTCTTTATTCCATGCATTATGTATGCTTCAGTAATAACATAAAGATCTTTGAACTGTCAATTACATAATATCTGATATGATAAAAAGGATGAGCCTCTATGTTTTGAAACTTTTCTCTTTATTCCATGAATTATGTATGCTTCAGTAATAACGTAAAGATCTTTGAACTGTCAAATACATAATATCTGATGTGATAAAAAGGATGAGCCAATAAACACCACTATTTTACTTTTACCACTTCTACTGTTAGTAGAACTTATGGTAGCAGATATAGTAATATATAAAATGATGTATCCTCAAATTGTCAGATATTATGTATCTAATGTCAAAAAAATGACACAATAAACATCTATGTTTTACCACTTAAGTTAGTAATTAGTAGAAGTTGTGGTGGTCTATGAATATGATTAATGTCATTATATCTTTTTCTTCTTTCAGAATGAGAAGTCAAAAATCGAAGAGAGAAGAAAACTCAGTGAGCAAGATGTTCATCGATTGATGAAAGAGAAAGAACATTCTGAAAACATTATAGCGAACCTAAAGAAAGATATGGAAGCCATGAATAGATTGCATGAGCAGCAACTTGAGCAAATTGAAAGAAAGGCAAAGGAAATGGAGGAGCAACTAACCACCAGAATGAAAGAAGTAGAGTGTCTCTTGCTACAATCGAATAAGAAAGTTGAAGAAGTTGAGACTGCTTCCAGGCTAAAATCACAGTTATGGGATAAGAAAGAGAACAATTTTCAAAGTTACATGGATAATCAACAATTAATTATCAAGGTTTGTTCACCAGCAGTGATTCCTTTTGTTTTAGTTTTAATCCAATTTTTGTGTCTTTTACTTTCTTTACAATCCATTACTTAAAAAATGCAGGACATAAGAATATTGTCACGATCATATGAAAATGATATGCATGCACTTCAAATGCAGTGGAGAAATGAGATCTCTAACTTGGGTATGTTTTCTTTTGTAATATGCTATACAAAATTTCATAGTAAAGTCTATATAATACGTTTGTCCTTTTGATGTTAAAAACCTGTGTAGGATCTGGGTTAAAATGTTTGGTTGATGCTGCTGAAAATTACCATAAAGTCTTGGCAGAGAACCAAAAGTTATTTAATGAAGTGCAAGAACTAAAAGGTATTTGTTTCCAAATGTTTTTTTTACCTTAAACTCTAAGTATAGATATTATAATCATGTTTTAATCTTGTCATTTTCTTTCAGGTAATATAAGAGTATATTGTCGTGTCAGGCCTTTTCTTTCTGGTCAAGATAAAATGTCTACCACAATTGACTATATGGGGGAAAATGGTGAGTTACTTATATCAAATCCATTTAAGCAAGGGAAGGATGGACACAGGATGTTCAAGTTTAATAAAGTGTTTAGTCCATTTGCTTCTCAAGGTATGTTTTCTTTTAACTTGAAACTATCTGATTATTTATTATCACATTTGTATTGTTATAGTCTGATTATTCTCTATAATTTTACAGCTGAGGTTTTTTCTGACATACAACCACTAATCAGATCAGTCCTCGATGGATTTAACGTTTGCATTTTTGCATATGGCCAGACTGGTTCTGGAAAAACATACACTATGGTACTGTAGGATCAATCATAATAAAAAACATTGTTATCACTACAATAGTAATGTTACTAATTATGTTGTTACTATTTATTCTTTAGAGTGGGCCTAGCGCATCGAAGCAGGATTGGGGTGTCAATTATCGAGCTTTGAATGATTTGTTTGATATTTCACTAAGTAGGAGAAATGCCTTCTCATATGAGGTGGGGGTACAGATGGTTGAGATATACAATGAGCAAGTCCGTGATCTGCTATCAAATGATATTGCACAGAGAAGATATCCTTTTTGAACTATCACTTTAGCTTTTTTTCATTACATTTATTATCTTCAAAATATTAATATATGAAACATTGATGTTATTCTTGCATCTGGCAAAATATTTTTTCTTTAACATAAATAAACACTTGGGATTTGGAGCACTTCTCAACCCAATGGGCTTGTTGTTCCAGATGCAAGCTTGCACTCAGTTAAGTCGACATCTGATGTATTAGACTTGATGGAAATTGGGCAAGCAAATAGAGCGGTTGGTTCAACAGCGCTAAATGAGCGAAGTAGTCGGTCACACAGGTTAGTCACACCAATAACTATTTTTTTTCTCTACATGTACTTTAGTATTGTATCTTATTTTGAATATTTTATTTGCAGTATTCTAACTGTACATGTTCGAGGGTTGGATTTGAAGAATGGATCCACCTCTAGGGGTTGTTTGCATCTTATTGATCTTGCTGGTAGTGAGAGGGTGGAGAAGTCTGAAGTAACCGGGGATAGATTAAAAGAAGCGCAGTACATTAACAAATCACTCTCTGCATTAGGCGATGTGATTTTTGCTTTGTCACAGAAAAGTGCCCATGTGCCTTATAGAAACAGCAAACTAACACAAGTTCTTCAAAGTTCTTTAGGTAATTGTATTTATTTACTACCAGTAAATTATAGGTGTTAAATAGATTTATGTGAATCTTGTTAATATTTATAATTTTATATTACCTTTTGTTTTCTGCCAGGCGGACAAGCAAAAACTCTAATGTTTGTCCAAATAAATCCTGATGTTGAGTCATATTCAGAAACTATAAGCACTTTAAAGTTTGCTGAAAGGGTGTCTGGAGTTGAGTTAGGTGCTGCGAGAAGTAATAAGGAGGGAAAGGATATAAAAGAGTTATTGGAACAGGTTCTTTTACTTCTTCTTTTTTACTTGTCACTAACTGTAGTTTGTTTCTCATTATGTTTGACTGTCTGAGCAATTTTTTTTATAAATAATATACTAAAAAAGGGCAACTTTTATATGAATGCTATGTTAGTATTTACCAAGGTTCGACTTCTTGTCCCAGCTTTTCTACGAATGCTATGTTAGTATTTATATCAAAGCATGGTTTGCATACTACGATCACTTCTTGTCCCAGCTCTTGAATCAAGTTTAAAGCTCAAGTGATTTTAGTAGTTAGTTATTCAAAGGTTTGGTGTACATAAACTGGTTTTGATTAATCTTTGCATGATCAGCTGGTGTTAATATAGTATTTGTGGAACACATTCTTTTTTTTGTGAAACTATTGTAGATTCTTTCTAGGCTCTTGCTATGTGAGTTTTCTGTAGTTTTTTTTAGTATTTGTTTCGTAACGGATAGACCAGTCACCAGTCGCAGAACATCCACAATGCTACATACATACTAAGTTACTAGCATATCCTTTTTCTTTGTGAAACCATACCCTTGGATCAATCATAAAATGGAAACTAAAAGGGAAAATATCAAGTCTGAACCTTCTTCACACTATTATAATCTCCAAAGTTTGTATAGTTTTAGATATATGGAAAACCAGGGCTAATAGTAGAGACGCTGATAATGATGTAATATTTTAAATTTACATTTTGCATGTGATGCCTGTCTTTTGCTTTGAATATCTCAGTTTTGAAACTGCATCAGTTTGAAACAGCAACATTATACATATTTTATCCAGGTTGCGTCTTTGAAAGACACAATTTCACGCAAAGATATGGAAATAGAGCAGCTCCAAGTCATCAAAGACAAAGTAAAATCCCCAAATTTATTGTTAGATAGAAATGGGCCTGGCTTGACGAAGATTACGGTAGACCAACCTAGCCAACTATTATCAGGCGAACGGATGCTTAAGTCTAGTGACAGAGTTTTATCAGATCCTCAGAGTTATGGTGAGGTGAATGGAGATTCTAACCATAATCTGACGGATACTGCACCAGCGAGCTTAGATGAAGCAGAATATGAGGACAATGCATCCGATGATGGTTTATCAGGCGAAACCGAGAATTACAATTCAGCTGCTGAGATGACAGTGGAACGGCTGTAAGTCATCTGGACTTCCGTTCACTTCTTGTAAAATATCATTTACTTGTTAATTCTCTCTTTCTTTTTTCATTATATTCACTTTATCATCACAGCAATAGCAAGAATGATAACTTATTTGGTAATGTTAAAAATATTGCAGGCATAGATTTCCATCAAGAATAAGTAGATTCACTCTCACAAAAAACGGGCAACCATCTATGTCTAGATCAAAATCAAAGGATGCTAAGACTCCAAGTATGTATTCTAAGCCAATCAGGCACACAACTACTTTAGCATGTTAGGCTATAATTACCAATTCTAAAAAAGGGTTATACTATTTGAATAGGTAATACAAAAGCTCCATCTAGCCAGTTCACAGGAGGTTCTTCAGTCAGGGGGTCTAAAAGATGGCAGTAGTAAAGCACGGTCATGTTGCTCGTTTTGATGTGCATTGTAATTGAAATGTGAATTTGATGGGTAGTTGTAGGACTATTTTATGATTGTAACTTTAGAAAATGATAGACATTCTGCTGGCAGAAGATTTGAGACCTTCATTTGATCATTTGCTTATGCCGAGCAAAACACCAAACAATGCTCGATTGTATGTGAAACATTCTGACCTGTGACCATTTGAAGAGGCTGGTGCGCCTCCGGAGCTGTATATATACCACCACCAAATTGTCGGTTGAAAATTTCCAGTTTGATTGCATCCTGGAAGTATTGAGCTTTTCTCACGATTCTCATTTCATATAACACATCGGTTTTCAATTTTCTTGAAACATGTTTCTGTTTCTTTTTTATAAGCATGGAAAACTCCATTACATAGAAACACGTTCTGTTTCTGGCAACGAATTTGTTCAGTGCTGCCACTGGTACAAATAATTTGTCAGAGGAATCTCATATATTCTGCTACCTACACATAAGAGTGTATTTTGGTTTTCAATTTTGTTGAAACACGATTCTGTTTTTGGCAACGATTTTGTTCAGAGCTGCCACTGGTACAAATATAGGGATTGTGATTTGACTATTTGAGAAACACGAGAGGATTAGGAGTGGATAAGGAGAGACAGACACATGCGACGCCGATGCACTCGTGCGATTGGGAGCTGAGAAAGATTCTAGGTAAACATTGGCGAATGGCAATTTGGATGGGCCTAGGAAGCCTTTGATGGAGTGTGGTGGGAGGAGGCAGGTGAGCTACAACTTTTTGATAAAAAGATGACAAGAAAATGACGAAAATAAAATGCAACTAACATATACACATGTGCCTACTTGATATATACACAATGTTCTGGCAAAATTATTGGTTATTCTCGAGAATACCCATGCATCCATATTGGATCCGCCCTGAAACCGCCCCGAAACACATAAGTGGTCAGTGCAGACTCAATATCTCTCTCTTAGGGTGGTCAGAGTTCAAGTCCCAAAAAACTCACTCTTTATTTGTAGCTTCAGCCATAACGACCAAGGTGGGAAAAAAAACTTCCTCGTCTGCCTCACATCAAAGCACAGGTCTGTAACCAGCTCATCTCACGGAGCTATGGTATCGCTATATATATGTGGAGTAGGAGTTCGGGAGTTTTCTCAATCTGCGTGAGAAGATCTTCTTTTTAAGCCGAAATAACCAGGGCTGTCAAGCCACCGCATATTGAGTTTTTTTTAACATGTTTTTCGACACATCCTATAACCATTGTAAATGCTACTATACTTAGGTAGGTAGCATCCGCACGCACATATTTTAGCTCACGAATTAAGAAGACAGGCGGTTTTTGGCTGGCCAAACCCATCACGTTTTCTGATTCTTGCTAATAGGAGTATACAATATGTATTACCAGTGTGCAGCATTATCAACAATGCCCGTCTAGCTCAGTCGGTAGAGCGCAAGGCTCTTAACCTTGTGGTCGTGGGTTCGAGCCCCACGGTGGGCGTTTCATTTTCTTTTTCTTTTTCTTTTTTGTTCCGGCGGCAGTGTCATACAGCGAAGATCCTCCTTACTTTCTTCCGGCGGCAGTGGCACCAGGTTGGTGATCACTGATCAGTCATTTTGGTCATACAGCGAAGATCCTCCTTACTTTCTTGAGCTTCCTTCTGCAGAATGGGCAGCCACCATTTTCCTCCACGATCCTGCACCACCAAAAAACCATTGTTTTGCCCCCGTTTACGGTTTACCTACTTCTCTTTGATCATCATGGTTCATGGCAAAGCCCGACGCTTTACCTGGCACCGCACGCGTAGCAGGTAGCGGAATGCCCGCACGGGAGGAAGAAGCAGTCCTTCGGGGCGTCGCAGCAGAGCACGCATCCACCGCCGCCCTCGCCCCTCCCCTCCGGCTCCCGGTCGTCGCTGCCATCGTGAGACACGGAGTCGTACGACGAACCCAGGCTCGCGGCGTCGTCCTCTTTGTCCGCCAGCAGTGGCCTTCTCCGGTCCGCGCCGCCGCCGCCTCCGGTGCAGGGGCCGAACAGCAGGTCCAATATCTCGTACAGGAGCAGCAGCACAAGAGCCAAGACGACTGCAATAGGCAGATGCGACGAACTGTGTTGTTTGCTTTGCTTGTAATCAGAAGGCCGTGTGAACATTTTATAGGTCTTTCTTTGAGCTTCCCCTAAAAAAAAAGGTCTTTCTTTGAGCTAGTACCTGATCCAACCACGTACACCGTCCAGCGAGGTTTGTATGACAGTTTCACGTGCTGTGCATCAGAATTCAGTCTCTGAAGAAAGGTTAAATCAGTGAGTGCAACTAACGTAGACAAGAAATTTGGGTACAGGATGCGATTGCATAAACAAAAGGGCCTGAAGATCACAAGAATGTGCAGTTTACCTCTTCGTGGCCGGATGATAGGACTGCAACATTCCGTCCAAGAAATGGTAATCTGTAGGTGCAGAGACCGTGACCGGCCGGTCCCGGTGAGCATCTGTAATCTGCTCCGCTGGTGTTGTAGAGCAAGGTCCTGATTCTGAATTCCAGCTGCACCTGCCGGATGAAACCTTCAGAACAAATGCCGATGCTGTTGCACGGCATTCAGGAACTCCACCGGGCTTTCATTTCAAGATGGCTACTTGATTTACCGTCGTGTCGTGATGATCGTTTAGGTTGCGCACGGCAATGTAGTACTCAGAGGAAAGATTGACGGTCTGCTCAATTGTTCCATTTCCTGAGATCAGACAGTGTAACAGCATTAGCATTCAGAATTTCACTGAACTGGTTCTTTTAATTGATATATATATTACAGTACTTACTTACCCTGCACCAAGCGCCAAAATAATGTGCTGTTCTGCAGAGATGGCATCTCAGCCCACCGCATAAAGCTTTCCCCTATGGAGCCAACGCCAGAGATCACACAATCAGAATTTTCAGGAAGTAAAAGGAAGATGATGAGTGGTCAGTGATTGTATCTGTACAGACTTACCTGTACCTCCTCGTTATTCATCTACCTAAGTTGTTCATACGATTTAACAAAGGACTAACAAAATCTAGATGACAATTCCTTTTCAGATATCGATAGATCCCCTGTAACTGCCGTCAGGTTTTTTTTTTAGAAAGACAGCAAGAGCTTTGCTGAGATTTTATTAGACGATGTAAAGGAAAATAACAGGATAAACAGAGAAAACAAGGAGTAGAAACTCCGAGCTACTACGGCGCGCAGGCCTGACCGTCAGATTATTTTCACCTAATGACTAATGTTGACCTCCTCCCACAGACCCGTGCAGTGGTAATAGTAGTGTATATAATCCTATGATATCTTGCAGTTATGAGAAATGAAGTGATAGGAGCTAAATGCAAATCTTTTAGCTTTAGCATATCTTCTTCCCTCCTTTTCGTTATATTACGGACCAACCACGCCTTCAGTTTATATCTGAAGGCACCTTACCTTGTGCAATGATGATGCAGAGTGGATGAGGCACGCCATCTTCAGACTTGACACTGTAAGCGGCTTGAAGTCGAGCCCCCTTGTTGAGGAAATACGTCCACTGCTGCACGATACAAACAAGACAAACTATTCAGGCGAGATATACAGAGCCGGTTGCTGTTCGTTTGGTTGCAGACGTTCTGGTGAAATCTTTTGCTGGAAGCCTGCAGGTACTCTGAACGCGCAGAACAACCTGAAGTCCAGAGCCTAACAGGCGCGCGACAATCAGATCCAGAGACGAACGACGACGACACAACGCGGCGTTACCCTGTGAGAGTTGGCGGGCACGACGACGCGACGGGCCTCCGGCCACTCCGTCGGCACGTCCAGCGGCGGAGCCACAGGCAGCCCGTGGAGCACCAGATCGCCGCCGCTCCCTTGTGACCCTGCATCCACGCTGACCTGAAAACGCACACGCTAAACAAACTTCTGCTTACCTCCAGGCTTGTTCAAAGAGCAAGAAAATTCAGTGTAGTGCCTCTCAGAGCATGCGCCGCGCAGTGTACTGCTGCTCACCTTGATGCCCTGCACGAAGACCGAACTGGCCTGCACGAGCCGCGAGCACCCCGGGCCGACGGCCAGCTCCACGGTGCCGTAGTACCCCAGCATCAACGCCATGGACGCTGCACGTACGCCAGGTCATCAAGAAATTAAACACTGCGACCAATCGACCAAAACGGCTACGACGACGTTGGGTGAGTGTGGATCGAGGGCGAGAGATCGACCGAGGAGGCAGAGGGCGAGGAGCGAGACGAAGCGGGACGCCGTCGCCTCCATCGAGCCAATGGCGCGCGGTGGACGTGTGACACTGTGACGGCGTGATGGACGAGCACGGGCGCATGGAGAGAGCCGGAAAGATGGGTGGGTGTTAGCCTGTACAGTACGTTCGATGGGGCCTAGTAGCCGCGTACGTAGCTACCGGTCTCATGCATACATGGCGCGTGCGAGAAGGTAGGTAACCTACGGTTCCGATCCTCACCGACTGGAGAATGTTCCTGTGTGGAACTGTGCATGACTACACCGTCACCATCTCAGGAAGACGGAAATAATCTGCTGGTCACTGTAAACACATTACACCTTGTTTGGATGCCTCGCAATCCACATGTGTTAGAGTGAAATAGAATGAAATTTAGTGTAATTCCACTCTAATTCACTTCAACACATGTGGATTGAGATGAATACATGCACATCTAAATAAGGCCTTAAGGAGGTGTATACTTAGGCGGTGTTTAGTTGGGACTTGGTTGGGACTGCTCTGCTCCATGTTTTTTTTAGCTCCACTTCACGGTTTTTAGTCAAATGGTTTCAGCTTTACGCACTTTGTTCGAGGAAAAATGGTGGACTTATAGGAGTACCTAAGAGCATCTCCAAAAGACTCTTCATATCCTTGTTAAATGTTAGGAATAGAGATTTTGGTGAAAAATTATCCTCCAACAGATGTTCTAAATGGTCATCCAAATATAGCCATCTTTTATTCCGGATTTTTCTCTAGCCAAAACTAGAAATCGAGAATGGCTCTCTAGAGTGCGCATGTGATATAGAAAAACTGTTGGAGAGTGAAAAGATATAGAAAGCGATTTTTATGTAAATATCGCTTCAAATGATGATTTAGAGAGTGAGATTTAGAAAGGCTTTTGGAGATGCTCTAAAGGGGTGCTCTATAAACTCTAGGTTTTTGTAGAGCTGCTCCACGGTGGAGTTTGTGGAGAAGTCCCAAACACCCCCTTAGTTAATGCGTGACATGAGAACTTTTAAAACATAATTTGCCTGATGTTTCCACTCGGAGTCTGGTCTGATATGTGACAGACATACAAAAAAAAACGAAGGAAAAATTCTAACCAGCAAACCATCTTTTCTGTGCACGTCAGATAGATGCTTTTTTCGCGTCAAGTAGAGACCTTATGAGTACGCTTTCATAATGGCGCACTTAAAAGCCCCCTACCTAGCGTGTCAGGTAGAGGCCTTTTTACGTACTAGATAGAGGATGTGGGATGCCAGATGGAGGACGTGGGATGCGCGACGCAGGCGCGTGGTGTGTGAACTCAATGCCATTGAGGAGTGTTTAGAGTAGCAGTAGGATACAAGATGTCAGGTGTTGCTAGTTGGGTCAGCCTAGAAAGAGTAGTGAGAGGGAGACACATATGGGCATGCGTGTGATGCGTACTTAGGCTAGCGTAGCGGGATACGGTGTCTAAATGACCCTATAAAATCATCTAGGGTCATTTGAATATTATTATATGCTTTAAGAGCTATAATATTATAATATCAAGTTTTATAGTTAAGGCCTTAAGGGTGGGTGGGGGTATGTACTCAACCGTGTGATATGTTAGGGGGGTTATATAAACTTTTTACTATTGTTTGTTGACTCAATTAAGGCCGTGCTAGCACCCACATAAGATGCCATGTCAACGATACCACCTTCAAAACCTTCTCATGGTGTTATTTAGATGGTTTTCAACAGTTTAAGGGCCCGGGTAGAACACCTGGTGTTATAGGTGATGAGATGAATCACCGATAGTTTGGGGTTTAAAGTAAACTTTGTCTAATTTTGTTATCATGGGTCCCTCTGCTTGGTATGGAGCTTGTGTCTAGGGGTGGTCACTTGGTTTTTGGTTCGGTTCCTCGGTTTTTGAAGAAATTCGGTTCCTGAAAAATAGAAACCGATCGGTTCTAAGAAATTTTGGGAACTGAACATTTCGGTTTTCGATTATGGCCCCATTCGCCTCGCTGAAAAAACAAGCCGAAACACTGTTCCGACTGATTTGTTGTGAGAGAGAAACACTGTTTTGGCTGAAAAAACAAGCTGAAAAGTACGGATTATAATAGAAGCGAACGTGGCCTATTTTGGTTTGGTTCCGATTCTAACCAAAGTAACCCAACATTTTTTTACAGAGGTTAAGACAACAATAAAATATGTAGGTTCTAAAGCAAATTTAAGCAACACTATCTCTCTATTTAGATAATAATATTTGTTAAAGGAAATACACACAGCAGTTCAAATATGAGACGAGATGAGGTAACAAAAATATATAAATAGCAAATTTGATAGAATTTTGCATATAGTACAACTTTAATTTGCAGCTGTTAATTGTTCCTGCACTTGGAATGACATTTGAATCAGAGGACAAATATTGCGAGATGTACAACATCTATGTCGATAATGTTGGGTTTAATTAGTATTAGAAAGGGCAAGAGAAAGTGCTTCCAAGATGATACTATTTATCAGAAATATATAGAGGATTATAGTTATTCACCGTAAAAATGAGTTGGAAGAAGATTTTAATGCACGTTGAAAGAACCTAGTTACTTACGTTCCAAAATTACCAATGTTGAAGACTGCATCTCATAATCACAGCCATGGTGCTTCCTTGCTGTAAATGGTGCCGAGTGAAATACATAAGTTTTGTATATTACAGCCATGGTGCAACGATTGATCAGTTCTTTTGATAATTGCAAAACATTATTTAGGTAACCTGTTGCGTTTGAAAGTCAATCGAAAACTTTTTATAGATATAAAAAATGGATTTGTGAGTTCCTAAAGAAAATAAGATACACTATTTAACCTTCAACGTAGCAACGCATTGGAAGATTGCATAATATAGATCACTTGTTACACCAATAAATAGATTCAAATCGAAATGTACAACTAGCAGGCCGTACGTAGCAATGCACGAACATCAACGTACTACTTGGTCTTGACGACTCCTTCGTTCCCGGCGAGGAGGAGGTACTTGTCCTTCCTCGTGAGAGTTGTCCCTTCGAACCCGAGCGCGGAGGCGAGGTCACGCTGCACCTCGTTTGCCACCTCTATGCTGCTCTTACCGCCCTCGGTGCTCACCGGCTTCAAGAACTGGACGCTGTACTCCGGTCGAGGGTTCATAAGAAAGTACACGGAGTCCAAGCTCTTGGCGAGAGGCGACGTGGAAGTCGCGTAGAATACGCTCGTCCGCGCGTCGACCGCCACGGGGGTCACCTCGGCGGCGAGCTCGGCGAACAGCGGGCTGAACCGGAGTAGGTACGGCTCCCGGCACGTCGTCCCCTCGGGGCACACGACCACGTCGCCGCGGGCCATCATCGACGACATGCGGAGCCGGTCCTCCTCGCGGTCGCGGGTCAGCCGCCGCAGCGGGATCGGGGAGAGCAGCTCCGATAGGCGGCCCAGGCTGTACGACACCGAGGCGACGGGCCTCCCGAGCGCGCTGGCGATGCCAACCGCGTCGAGGAGCGTGCGGTGGTTGCAGGCGTAGAGCCGCCCGCCGTGAGGCTTGCCGCTGTCGTCCGCTGCGGAATTGGTGGCCCCGATGACGCGCACCCTCACGCCGGTGAGCGCGGCAGCGACGGCCGACACGCGCCACGGGAGGAGGATGTAGATGGCGATGCGGATGATGGCAAGGACGACGCCGAAGGGGAAGTAGATGTACATGGCGAGCGCGGCCGCCGCCGTCGGCGTGAACGCCAGCCGGCCGTCGTGGAACACAACAGGCTTCGGGCCATAACCGCACAAGGTCGTCTTCTCGGTTTGCTCCAGGACACGCGCAACGACCCTCTCCGTGTCCAGCTCGGCCATGGCCCCGGTGAGGTACCGTGGCCCTCCTTTGAGCTCCCTCCCGGCCACCGCGTCGAACCCCACGTACTCCTTCAAGAACGCCTCCACCATCACCGTCGGGAACGTCTGGGTCACGGCCACCACCTTCGCCTCCTTGGGCAACGCGCGCAGCAGCGCCTCGATGGCTCGCACGCCGCCCGGCGCCTCCCGGGAGAAGAGCTTGGGGAGCACGGCCCTGCCGACCCTGGCCGCCTCGTCGCGGCGGAGCCCGCAGAAGGAGACCATGGCCATGGCCCTCACGCGCGCGCCGCGGGGCAGCGTTTGCAGGACCGGGTAGAGCGTGAGCAGGACGAGGCCCCGGGCGTAGCCGCCCGCCTCGACGGCGGCGAGGAAGTAGGGCGGGAACGCGGCGCCCGGCGACGGGTTCAGGAGCAGGGCGTCCGCGTCGACCGCGAACGCGTTCTCGCCGAGCTGGCGCAATGCCGGAGGCGACGGCGTTGCTGCTGCCGGTACGGTGGTGGTCGCCACGCCACGGGAGCAGCCCCGGAGGCCCGCGGCGAGGCCTCGCTTCACGAGGCGGTGGATGCGGAGCGCGCGGCTCATAAACCTGTCGCTGGTCAGCGCCATAACTCAGAGGTGCTGATCGTGGGGTTTGATCTTGTAATCTGTCCTCTTTTTTATGTGTAAGTAATCGATGATTTGGTTTCTATATATGGGACGAGTGTTTACCGGGAAGGAAACTGTTTCGGATTTGGTTTCCATATCGGACTAGTCTTTTTTTTTTGAAAGGGAACTGTTTCTTTGTGTCGGAAACGAGCTGGGAAGGGATGTTATCGTCGTGTGCCCACTTGATCGCCCCGCTCCCCTCCGTGTCTGCGGCGTCCGACGTCGACTCCGTCCGCATCTACCTCCTCGAACCGGAAGCGGAGTTCGACCACGGCGTGGAGCGTGGTAGCCTCGCTCTCGTCGGTGGCGTCTTGCTCGGCGGCGACGGCAAGACGAGGTCCAAAGCCATGCGAGATGGATCTCGCCATCTCCCTCTCGTAGATAGATGTCGTAAAGGACGGTTATCGTCTAGGCCCGCTAGCTCTTCGCCCCGCCCGCTCCTTCTCCGCTTTGCCCCGCTCGGTCGACCGCACATCCATCCTCCCACGCAGTTATTCGATCTCTCCCTCACGTGTGCCTCCGCTCTTCCTCCTCTCCATCACGTAGTCCTGCTTTTCCTTGACATGACCTTGGATGATGCGGACGCCGGCGTCGAGGAGCTGCTGGGACCAGGAGGAGGAGGCGTGGAGGTCGAGGGACCGGACCTCGCGGGTGCCGCGGCAGAGTAGCTCGAGGTAGAGGGCAGCTCTGACGAAGCCCTGCCCGCCCGTCACCGCGAACCACACGTCCTCGATCCCTTCGTTCGCGCTCAGATGCATCTTCTCGACGGGGTGCAGGTCGTCGGCGACCGACGATAGCCTGGGTAGTCGGCCTCCGTGCTGCCTGACCCCGAATCCGGGCGAAGCGTCAGCACTTCAGCAAAAACAAGACCAACTCCACGATGGGGTCTGGACTGTGAAGTGGAGGTGTTGCCTTATTTTCCAACCTCCACAATGTATGCTTAAGTGATGGCCAAAAGAAGAGAGAGATGATTTTAGCACTGCTCCTCCCCACTGCAGCAGGCGGTTCCAATTGCAAGCGATGCCGAGAAAACAAGGAGCGGAGCAAGTAGTTGCGCCAGTGCCTAAATCAATAAAAAACCAGTATTGTACTGTTGCTGTGAGACTGCAGCCAGCACTCTGATGTTGTTGTCAGATTGTTGATAGAAGATAAAGAACGCGCTACTTTTTCTGGCATCACTTTTACACGCTGCAGCCCTAAACTCAACCAAGCATCACTGTGAGCTGGCATACATGAACAGTATCGGGCACCGCTCACACTGTGGAGGGCCTTATGGGCGCAGCAAATCCGTAGCTGAACAATTGTTACTGAAGAGTAATGGGCGGCTAGCTAAGTAATTTTTTTTTACGTTGAACAGGAAGGGCGCACCCCTACTGATGATTTATTATAAAGAGTTTAAAAGTAAGTATAATAAAGGAAGGAAGATAGGCAGACAGAGGGGGTTCAAGAGACAAAGAAAGAAATGAAAAAAATGAGCCACACTAAGGATATTAAACAAGATTGTTTAACCATAAATTAATCACAGGGAAGTAGCTTCTTTTTGCGCGCAGCAGAAATAGCGCAAATTCAGACTTGAAAGCCCTTTTGGCATCTTGAATTGATGGCTGCTTGTTGTTGAAGATGAGCCCATTTCTTGTTTGCCAGATCGTCTAGCACATCAAGATGATGATTTCTGTGAAGAAAGGGACATGGAGTTGTGTTATGAAGATTTCTAGATTCTGAAAGAGATCTATTTGTGGGTTAATTTGTAAACCCAACCAGTTCCAGCCAGTAGTGGCAAATGAGCAATCTATTAGTAAGTGGAATAGTGACTCCTTTGTTGGTGGAGTGCAGAGAACACAAGTATAATCCTCAAGTTTCATGTTTTTCCTTCTAAGAAGCTCTCTTGTGCTTAGCCTGTCAATCAAAATAAACCAAGCAAAGACCTTATGCTTATCCTGACATGAGCACTTCCAAATCTAGCTGAAGCTCTGGTGTATGACTCTGTGTCCACTTAAATGCTTGTATGCTTTTGCAACTGTATATCTTCCCGAGTTTCATAACTAAGTAATAGTTTACCCTTCTCCTTAGCATCAGAGCTCCTTTCGTTGGTGGCAAGTATGGATGAAAACGGTACGGATATTTATTCGACCGTCCGTTCGACCGAACAAATATGAACACTTATCTGGATAGTTACTCGGATATCCGTAATTTTTTTCGGATACGGATACTAAAACGGATATCTTAGGCGGATATCAAATACGGATGTAATATCATCGATATCCGGCGGATATCGGATAATCCGGTTAAGTATCGGATATATCCGGATATTTAAAAACGGATATTATCCGGATATTATTCAAACGACCTTGGATGGAGAAATGATCAAAATAAAAATTGTAGATCTCAAAAAGTTATGAAACTTTGTTGTTTATAACTTTTTCGTTTGAAATCATTTAGTGCTTCAAAATTTAAACCGTCCAAACTTTGTCAAATGGAAAACTAGTTTATAGGCGTCAAAATTTAAAAATCACAAATTTGAACCATCCAAACTATCTCAAATGGAAAGTTGACCAAAACAACAATTGTAGATCTTGATGAGTTGAACAAACTTGGTATTCAAAACTTTTCAATTTGAAGTCATTTAGAGTTCATAATACTAGAGTCAAAGTGTTGTTTTTTCATTTGACCAAATTTGACTTGGTCAAACTTGCTCAAATGAGACACTAAATGACCTCAGATGAAAAAACTCTGAATACCAAGTTTGATCATCTCAGCAAGATATACAATTGTTACATATCTTATTTTCCCATTTGAGAAAGTTTTATCAAACACTAGTCACAAATTCTTGAATCTCATATAGACTTTCTGAAACTATGTCACACACTTATGAAATTTGAACTACATTTTGTTCAAACTTTTTCAAATAAAAAAATAGCCTATATAAGGATTGTAGATCTTGATGAGCTAAACAAACTTGGTATTCAAAACTTTTCAATTTGAGACAATCTAGGGTTCCGAAAACTAGTTTGTAAGCATCGAAATTTAAAAATCACAAATTTGAACCGTCCAAACTATCTCAAATGGAAAGTTGACCAAAACAAGAATTGTAGATCTTGATGAGTTGAACAAACTTGGTATTCAAAACTTTTCAATTTGAAGTCATTTAGAGTTCATAATATTAGTGTCAAAGTGTTGTTTTTTCATTTGACCAAATTTGACTTGGTCAAACTTGCTTAAATGAAACACTAAGGCCCTGTTTGGTTGGGCTTTTGGCTTTGACTTTTGGTCCCAAAAGCCAAAAGCCCAACCAAAGGGGCTGCTTTTGGAGGGTGTTTTTTCAGAAGCAGCTGCTTTTCCGTAGTTCATTTTTGAAAGCTGGGTTGATCCTGCTTTTGGCTTTTGGCTTTTGGCTTTCTGCTTTTTGAAATTGGTGGAATAAAAAGCTCTTCCATAGTTGTCTCAAGAGAGATAAAGATAAAAGGTATATTTTATACTTGTTTAACCAAACAACTTTCAGCTTTTTTCTGACTCCAATTGAAGCAGACTTTTCCATGTGACTCATGAATTTCACACAGCACTTTTTTTCCCCGTACCACAGCTCAACCAAATAGGGCCTAAATGACCTCAGATGAAAAAACTCTGAATACCAAGTTTGATCATCTCAGCAATATCTACAATTGTTACATAGCTCATTTTCCCATTTGAGAAAGTTTTATCAAACACTAGTCACAAATTCTTGAATCTCATACAAACTTTCTAAAACTATGTCACACACTTGTGAAATTTGAACTACATTTTGTTCAAACGTTCTCAAATGAAAAAATGGCCTATATAAGGATTGTAGATCTTGAATCCATGACCATGACTCCATGAGACCCATGAAGCCATGAGCCTGGCTATTTCTACTCATGCCGCGAAGATTGGTGCTTGTATGATGTATGATGTATCTGTATCTTTATCTTATTTGTTGCTTTACTCTTTAGTCTTTCGGCTTAATCTAGATGGATTATGGACTCATAGAGTGGTGTAATGGTTTGCGCACGTATGATATATATATATGCTGCTTTTACTCAATATCCGAATAGATATTTGTATCCGAACTTCTCCGAATCCGATTCATACCGTATTCGATACTCATTATTCGTATCCGTAACCGAGTCAATCCGTATTCGTATATGTATCCGAACGCTATCCGTGTCCGAATCCGAATCCGAACAGAAATATGAAAACAAATATAATATGAGTGATATCCGTTCGTATCCGATCCGTTTTCATCCCTAGTGGCAAGATCGAAAAGAAGGGCAAGGAAAAAAAGAAACACACCGGAGGCCACAGCAATCGTCCTGCGTGCGACGCTCTCAGCCTGCACCGTGAGAAATGTTTCTCTGGCTGCAGGCTTGCAGGTGCTTCACCGTGTGGCCAAACCTACAGACGCCCGTTGTTTTCGTGAAGAAGGCATTGTAATGGCTAGAAAACATTTCAGGGACTATGCACCTCTCCATGGTCGTGGGGGAGTCTCTTGGCCATTTGGAAAGCTTCCTTGACATACTTGAGCTTTCTTCCACCTCTCTTTCAAACACTGCATGGGATTGTATTTTTAGTAAGATTGGGAGCATTTTGCTGCATTGCATCAAGAGTTTAAACTCTGTAACATTCAGCGACGGAGCACAGCACAAAATCAAGGGGGGGCCAACTTGACAAAAACACAAGTGAAATATGTTGACATCAGAAATAAAACCATATATACTATGATAAATTTAACTAATCACATATCAAGTGACTATAGGGACTGTCAGACTACTCTTAACCAAGTTATGGACTAAAACTAGCTAGTTATATATACTAGTATAATGCACGTGTTAACGCTACGGTGAAATTTCAGAGATGCATATGAAAACAACCAAGCGACGAAATTTCAAGAAAAGAAAACTTATAAAAGAGGAATCGTGGCTTACATTAAACTTCCGACTTTTTTGAAGTAGTAATTCTATTACTCAGTTACTGGTGCCAAATTGGCAACCACACCCATCTATACAATTTAGAATACTGTAAAACAATATGACAATACCCTGATTTAGAATCAACTACTAAGTTGTTGTACATTGGGCTACATTACAAACTCCTGAGGAATGAAATACATAAATATTTTTTAGTTATGAGCTAATGTCTCCATCTCCCACATCAAACCACTTTCAGAGCTTGTGATCAAAGTATGTTGACACTTGCCTTACCCTCTTACCATCATCAGAGTCCCTGATTCTTGTGTACTGGGATGCTTAGTATAATCTCAGCATCTGTCCATTTCCCATGGTGAGTTTTCTTGAAATAAATCTAGAGTAGATCTTTAATCACAAGCACAAACAGGCCGGAAGGAAGGGCATGCAGCTCGGGCAGATCTTTTGATCAGATGGAATCACTGAAGTTGGTGTGTAGATTGTTATTATTTTTTAAAAGGTGAATCCAGAATTTTTCTCATTGGTACACTTGAAATTGAGCTTCTAAAATGGACTGCACATGAAGAGAAAAAGAAGTGTTTACACCAGCCCAACTTCTCCATTAATGAATCTGATCCCATACCAATATTATTTGCAACAAATAAATGGCAGACATATTCATTACGTGCTATTTGAATCATAATAAAATCCACTAATGGAGCCATCGCTACAAGAAAAACAGACGTAGTAGAAACCAACGATGGTTAACCCACAGTCAGCTCCAACATTGACAAACTATCGCTCTTTCCATCTCTACATGTAGCATCAGAGAAATAATAAATAAAACACTTATACATACACAAATGAACAGGTCAAGTAATCCCATACCATAAATATATGAGAATAGTTGCTAAAGTCCAGAGACTTGCCATCATCTGTCTCAATCTAACTCTGCAGGAAGGGCATAAGAACAAATAATCAAAAGATTCAATATGATGAACAATACTACCAAGTTTGGTAATCAATTAACAGAAGAGGTGTAAATGATGGAAACTTGGACCAATGTCTTATACCGTCCTCTGGTCTGCAAACAATATAAGAAAGATGTTTTCACATGTAAGTTTGGAATGTTGTGAGTCACCAGGATATACATAGAGATGGTATGAGCATAGACATAAACACTCACGATGCCTCCCACTTGCAAGTGAAAAATGTGTAATTTATAGCATCCACTATCTACCCTTCACAGAATGTCACTACCTATGGACAGAGCCAATACATGACATTAAAACTGTTAGATGTATAGGAGGTGTATATGTTTTCCCTCTACTTGGAGGGCTTCTTTGCATATGTACATGGTGTATACTTGCCCTCTTGGGCCTTGCAATAGAGCTGATCGGTCATCTTCTAACATGGTATCAAAGAGCTAGGTTTTTCTTACCTCGTACCAATCCCACCGATCCCGTGCAGCGTCATGAACCAGCGCAGACGACGCACACGCGCCCTGCGCCCGGCCCGTTGACGGGGAGGAGGCGCCGAGCCTCTGCTCTCTGCCGCAGCCGCCCGCCGCTAAGCGGGCGCGGAAGGCCAAGTGGTTGCGCCTGCTGGCTTCCCAGCAGGCGTGCCGGAGCTGCCCCCATCGGCGCGCGCTGGAGCTGTCGCGGCGTCGCCGCCGGCGACGAAGAAGAAGACGATCGCTGCTGCCCGCCGACCACTCCCGCTGCCCTCCCGAGCTGCCTGCAGCGTCGGACGACTCTCTCCGCGCTGCTGCTTTGCGGCCTCGCGGCTCCTTTTCGTCCGCGCCCGGTCGAGTCGCCACTCGCGCCTGCAGTGTCTGTGGTCGCCTGTGAGTCGGGTCCAAAGGAGTCGGCCGGCCCTCCTCTCCTCTCATTCTTCTAAAAAAAAAAAAAAAAAAAAGAAGAAGAAAGAAGAAGAAAAAAAAGAGAAAAAAAAAGAAGAAAGGCTCGTTCTCTCCTCCATGGCGCCCCCGGACGGGACGCCTGGCGCTTATTCCGTCCCTCGGTGCCCCCGTCATTTTCAATGGCACAAATTGGGGCGATTTTGTTTTCCATATGGAGGTCCACATGGATGGGCAGCTGCTGTGGGGCTACCTCACGGGTGAGCGGATCTGTCCTCCCCGTCCTCTTCTTCCCACGCCGCCCACATACCCGCCAGATGCCGATGATGATGCCAAGAATGCTTTACTTGAGGCATTTGAGACTGAGATGGAGAGCTACCAGTCTGATCTCGGTGTCTATGAGACTTGGCTGCGTGAGGAAAAATCTGCTAAGGCTATCTTACTTGCGAGCATGGAGGTCGATCTCTCGTTATCCCTTAGAGGTCTTGCCACTTCACACCTTATGTGGGATCACCTCCGTCGACTTACGAGAGATTCAGAATAGCAGGCGATGTACCTTGCTGTTGTTGAGGAGGCTCGGTCGCGCCCGTCGCCTTGACTCCACAGTTGAGGCCTTCCACCGTCGATGATGGCGGTATGCATCGCATCGCTCGGACAGTTTGGGCGCTGAGTTCTGCGGTGGTGGTACTTGTCGGTCTGTGGACCGTCATCGGGACCAGAGAGACATTCTTCGCCTTCACGAAGTTTCTCTCTCGGCTTCGCCCCGAGTTCGAGACCGTTCGAGCACGCTTGTTGACTCGTCGTCTCGCGCCTATCGCTCTCAGGAGGCGATGCTCGAAGTTCTGGTGAGGAGACACGTCTTCGAGCTGGGGGTGTGACTTGTGCTCCGCCGCAGCCCTCCGTCCTAGCAGCCACACCTCCCCAGGTCTCTCCGTCTCAGCCCTCTCCTGTGGTGACGGGGGCACCTTCTGGTGTTCAGTGTGGCTACTGCAAGCTCTATGGCCATGAGGAGAAGGATTGTCGCAAGAAGCAGCGCGACCGATCAGGGCGTCGTGGCGGGCACGCTTTTCGTGGCTCTGGTGGTTCCTCTACTCACGAGAGCACTCGTTCGTGTCTGCAGCGGAGCAGGAGGTTCTTGCCTGTTTGCCGCCTCACTAGTGCAGCTCAGCCTCCGGTCACGGGACTACAGCTCGAGCTTCTAGTTCCTCCTCCTCCTCCGTCGTGTATATCATCCCCATGGTTCCTCGACTCTGGTGCCTCTTTTCATATGACACCTCATGCCACACACTTGTCCTCTCTATCTTCCCCGATCCACCTATTTTCATTACACCGCAGATGGCACTTCTCTTCTGTTCTTTGGGAGAGGTGTTCTTTCGACCTCTTCGTTTAATGTTCCCTCTTGCTTCGCATGTTCCCAAGCTCACTATGCAACTCTTGTCTCATGGGTCAAATCATCGATCATGGTGCCGATAATCCTTGAGTCGATTCTTGTTGTGTTCGGGATCTCCAGACGGGCCTTTTGGTGGGAACTCAGGCCTAGGTGTCGGGACTCTCAACGCCTCTGGGAGCTTGATTGGTTGCGTCTTCCTTCACCCGTTTTGGCTCCCACATCCCCGGTTCTCCAAAGATCCGTGTCACCGCCGTCTCACCACATCTTTTGCAAGCAGATGGCATCGGGCGTCTTGGCCACCTCTCCGGTTCTAGATTGTCCACTCTTGTTGGTAGTGGTGTGTTAGGTTCATTTACGGTGACACTACTCTTCATTGTATGGGTTGTAAACTTGGCAAGCAGTTGCAACTCCCCTACCCTTCTAGTGAGTCTAAGTCCCGAAACCTTTTGATCTTGTTCACTCGATGTATGGGGTCCTGCACCTTTTGTTTCAAAAGGAGGTCAATCATATTATGTTATTTTCATTGATGACTATTTGAGATTTACCTGGATTTATTTGATGTCTTCTCGTGGTCAATTTCTTTCTATTTACCAGCAATTTGCCACCATGATCCGTACCCAGTTCAACTCTCTCATTCGAGTTTTTCGTGCGGATTCTGCTGGTGAGTACATCTCCACTGCTCATCGTTCCTACCTTGCTGAGCAGGGTACTCTTGCCCAATTTTCATGTCCTGGTGCTCATGCTCAAAATGGTGTTGCTGAGCGCAAGCATCGCCACACTCTTGAGACTGCTCGTGCTCTCTTGATCTCTTCTATGCTTGCTCCTCATTTTTGGGCTGAGGCGGTTTTACAATTTGTTTTTCTTATAAATCGCCAACCCTCTACTTCTCTTCGGGTTGCACTCCTATGAGCGTCTTTTTCGCACCCTCCTTCCTATAGCCATCTTCGTTGTTTTGGGTGTGTCTGTTACGTCCTACTTCCACCTCGTGAGCGCACCAAACTCACTGCTCAGTCTGTTGAGTGTGTTTTCCTTGGGTACAGTACGGAACATAAGGGTTATCGCTGCTATGACCCTGTTGCTCGTCGGATGAGGATTTCTCGGGATGTCACCTTCGATGAGTCCCGGCCTTACTATCCTCGTTCCCCTTCCGGTTCTTCTAGTACCACTGAGTCCCTCTCATTCCTCACTTTACCTGAGTGGTATCTTCCGCTGTCGTCTCCATCCTCTTCACCACCTCAGGCATCTTTTACTCCGCCTCCACCATCACCACCTACTTCTCCATCTTCACCACCTCCTACCTCTCCACCACCCGGTCCCTCCTCCACCATCATCGTTCGTCCTTCCCGTGAGATCACTCACTACTACACTCGTCGTCCGCGCCCTGCGCGCCCACTTGACTCTTCTCCGTCCGTCCTTGGACCTCATCCTAAGTCTCCTCCTCGCTATTCTCTTCGTGACCGCAGCACCCTTCATCCTCCCGATCGCCTTGGCTTCACTGCTGCCGTCTTGGCTGAGCCCGCGACCTATCGGGAAGCTGCCGTTCATCAGGAGTGGCAACATGCTATGGCTGAGGAGATTGCTGCCCTAGAACGTACTGGCATCTGGGATCTTGTTCCTTTGCCACCTCACGTCACTCCTATCACTTGCAAGTGGGTGTATAAGGTAAAGACCCGCTCGGATGGCTCTCTTGAGCGCTACAAGGCTCGTCTTGTGGCACGCGGGCTTCCAACAGAGCAAGGTCGTGACTATGAGGAGACCTTCGCTCTGTCGCGCACATGACTACTGTTCGTACTCTTCTTGCGATTGCTACATTCGCTCGTCGATGGTCGATATCCCGCTTGATGTCAAGAACGCCTTCCTCAATGGCGAAGCTGCGAGAGGAAGTCTATATGCGACCACCTCCGGATACTCATTCTCGATGGCCTGGTTTGTCGGTTGCGCCGTTCTCTCTGGCCTCAAGCAAGCTCCTCGGGCCTGGTTTGAGCGTTTCTCCTCTGTTGTCATCGATCTTTGGTTTTACACCAAGTGATCATGATCCCGCTCTTTTGTTCACACTTCCCTCGTGGTCGCACCTTCTTCTTCTCTATGTCGATGACATGATCATCACGGGCGATGATTCCCAGTACATTGATTTTGTGAAGCAGCGTCTCAGTGAGACATTCCTTATGTCTGATTTGGGTCCCCTTCGTTACTTCCTTGGTCTTGAGGTCACCTCCACATCTGATGGTATCTTTCTCTCTCAGGAGAAGTACACTCAGGACCTCCTTTCCCGTGCTGCTCTCACTGATCACCGCACTGTTGATACTCCTATGGAGCTTGGTGTTCACCTACGACCCACTGATGGTGTACCACTTGCTGATCCTACTCGCTATCGTCAGCTTGTTGGGAGTCTTGTCTACCTTGGGATCACTCGTCCTGACATTTCTCACTCTGTGCATATCTTGAGTCAGTTTGTCTCAGCTCCTACCCACCTCCACTATGCTCACCTCCTTCGTGTTCTGCGATACCTTCGTGGAACTATCTCTCGGCGCCTTTTCTTCCCTCGTTCTAGTTCCCTTCAGCTTCAGGCGTATTCTGATGCGACCTGGGCGAGTGATCACTATGATCGCTACTCTCTCTCTGCCTATTGTGTTTTCCTTGGCTCCTCCTTGATTGCCTAGAAAACCAAGAAGCAGACTGCTGTTTCTCGCTCAAGTGCTGAGGCTGAGCTGCGTGCTATGGCGACTGTGACTGCGGAGGTGACATGGCTACGATGGCTTCTTGAGGATTTTGGTGTGCCTGCCACTGCACCCACTCCTCTCTCTTCTGACAGCACCGGTGCGATCAGTATTGCTCGAGACCCAGTCAAGCATGAGCTCACCAAACACATTGGCGTTGATGCTTCCTACATGAGATCGCAGGTGCATGATCTGGTTGTGACGCTCCACCATGTGCCTTCAGAGGTTCAGCTAGCTGACTTCTTCACCAAGGCACAGACTCGGGCTCATCATAGATTCCTACTCTCCAAACTCAGTGTTGTAGATCCACCATGAGTTTGAGGGGGGTGTTAGATGTATAGGAGGTGTATATGTTTTCCCTCTACTTGGAGGGCTTCTTTGCATATGTACATGGTGTATACTTGCCCTCTTGGGCCTTGCAATAGAGCTGATCGGTCATCTTCTAACAAAAACATCGCTTATCTCTGTATTTTTTTTTAAATCCAGTCATACACTGTCAAGTGGCAACACATTTAATTCTCATTAATTTTTAAACAGTTGATGGTGCACAATATTTATTTAGCAAACCTATAACTAACATTGTCTTCAATGCATAACATTAGATTTCAGATTCGAAGTGGAAGAACAAATGAGTACTCACATATGTATCTGCTAAGGGAACATTAATCGCTTCCACCTGAAAGAAACATACAAGCAAATGTAGTCAATGCAACCTATATCCCAGAACATCAAATGGAAACTGGAATACAGCTGCATTTTGCACAATTTAAAGCTGACACAATGCTCATTAGCAGTAGCCTGAGCTATATAGAAGAATACAACTGCATTTTGCACAATTTAAACTATAACCTATATCCTAGAACATCAAATGGAAACTGGAAGATAAACAACACTACAGTTATTTGATAGTACACATCAACAATGATCCTGCCTTTCCTAGACATGTCAAAATTCTAAGAAAGGTCCTAATCATGGTATATAAGCATCCTCCAACATACTAATGTGTGCACTGAGCAGAGTAGGATAAATATCGACTCTGCAAGCACCTATATTTTTTTTACCATTAAACCCAACAAACACCACAGCTCATGCAGAATCCTATAAAGACACAATGTCACCTCAAAAAAATTCTCATTGGACAAAATAACTGTCCCAAAAGCTGATTATTAGTCAAAGTTTTAGAAATAGCTAAAAAATAAGCCTATCATCAATTTGCATAGAACTGAATTAATTAACATGGAAAATCAATTATTTATTTTTGAACGTAACATGGAAAATCAATTTGAGCTCCATGGTCTTAGGTGCATTCACTTCATCCTAATCACTGAAGATGGTCCAGATGATCTGGAGCGTCACTCCCTGTAGGCATTTCCACAAACAGTTGGTAAGCACAAAGACATATGAAGGCAGAGGACGAACGGTGCAGAAGCAGATCAAGCCACAGAACACTCTGCAAGCACTGCCAAAGCGAAGGCAAAAAGATATGTGTATTTTATTTAGCACCAACTTGCCAAAATATGAACCTCAAGCGAAGATGGAAGACCGCTCACCGAAGTGATCTCTTTGGACGGAGATCGCTCGCCGGTGCCAGCGGTGGATGTGCCCATAGGGTCCGGGAGTCCGGCGATGCTCTCCTGATGGTGGCCTCAGATCCACGGGAGCCCCTGGCTGGGCAACGTCTTCGCTTCAACGTGAAGGTGAAGAATGGGGCAACGATGACGGATCGCTATGGTGGTGGAGATGGCGTAGTTGCCCTCCCCTCGCCGACGAGGAAACATGCGTAATAGACCGAAATGGAGAGGGCGTTGCGGGAGGGAAGTCCAGCTGCGGGTAAACTAATGTGGGTAAAACCTCTCCATCTCATACAACTATGAGGCTGTGAAAAATGAAGTACCTCTACTCCAGGAGGCTTGATTTGTCCCAAAGCTTTAGCTGCACTGAATACAGCTGTAGAGCCTCCCATATCAAATTTCATCAGCTCAATGATGCAGCTTGGCCCAATCTTAATGTTGTAGCCACCACTGGATTCATAGGCAAATCAAGCATTAGAAAAATAACAAACTGTTCCACCTTCATGTCTACTTCTAGTTTTTCAGAAAGCCACTAAATATGTTGCAAGTACTACAAAGTACAAACCTGTCAAAAGTTAAACCCTTTCCAACAATAGCCAGCTTTCTCTTGACGTTCCCATCTTCAACTCTTTTCATTTCTATACATCTAGTACTGTGGTAAGGACATTTGCAGAGAGTTCACAAGCTCCCTCCGTATATGACACGTGACGAAAGATCATTAGCATAAGTTTCTGTTGTATCTGCTGTCCTCATAAGGTTTTTGTGATTCAGACTGGCAGAAAATTCAGGCTCAATCCATGCCCTTCATAACCATCACAACAGAAAAGAAAAAGAAACCTGTGCAGGAGAATCAACCTATACAAGAATAAATCAACAAAAAATAGCAATACAAAAAAGCAGAAGTAATCTAAATGGTTACTATTTCTCGACAACAAGTTATGTTGCCTGTAAAGAATTTTTTTGTTTGTTATTAGCATGTATGTCCATGAATTGTGCTAATTCCTTTTGGTTTTCCTTTTTTGTTTGAGGTCACGGTGGTTCGATGGATTGGATTCTCTAGGATAGATTTTTTTTCATTTTTTTCTTGGAAGGTTATGTTAGGTGTAGATGGGGATCTCAATCCATGCACTCCATAACCATCACATCAGAAAAGAAAAAGAAGTATGTGCAAGAAAAAGAAGTATGTGCAGGAGAATCAACCTACAAGAATAAATCAACAAAAATTAGCAATAAAAAAGCAGAAGTAATCTGAATGGTTACTATTTCTCAACAACAAGGTATGTTGCCTGAAAAGAACTTTTTGTTTGTTATTAGCATGTATGGCCATGAAAGGCTTTATTTGTTTATCTGTGCGTCATCAAGTTAACATGAACACATAAATGAAAATCCTAACGGGTTCACATTTTGCAACGCCACTACCAAGCTAACACAATAGTACTACTATACTACTACTATCGAACAAAGGAACATATTTGCATCGTGAACCCAATAAATTCTTTTCATGTCACCATTGATCCATCATTTGTGGCAACTAAAAAAAGTGCCAAGAGATTTACCGGTTTCAAAAAAGCAAACATTTATGCTCCTGAGTTCTCACATCTACACCTAATGTAGCCTTCCA